TCTAATCTGGGAGAACCGGGTTTGATTCCCCACTCCTCCACTTGCACCTGCTGATGTGACCTTGGGTCAGTCACAAGCTCTGGCACAGCTGTCCTTGAAAAAGAGCAGTTTGTGTCAGAGTTCTCTCAGCCCCACCCACCTCACAGGGTGTCTGTTGTGGGGAGGGGAAGGGAAAGGAGTTTGTAAGCCGCTCTGAGACTCCAAGTGAAGGGCGGGGTATAAATCCAATCTTCTCTTCTTCTTCTTCTTCGAAGCCACTGTGGAGGCAGGGGTGGCAGGATCACTAAGGCCTTACTGCTGGGGTGGGCTCCCTCGTGGCTTTAAGCACCCTGCAACCGCTGCTGCACCTGTCAGACAACCACCTGCTAGGTGTAGGAGGTGGGGGGAGTGTGTTGGAAGCCATCAGAGAGGCTGGGCCAGCAGCTTTGCTTCACCTCACAGGTGGTTCTGGGCCACTCCTGATTTCCTCAACTGTCATTAGCTCTCTGCATTCCTCTGTAACTGTTAATTTTTTTTACGTCACTGTAAAATCAATGCCCAGGCCAAACAGCTGAACCTAGAGACACCAAATTCAGATTTGAGATGTGCTTTGCTGATCAGAGGGGTAGTGATTGGGGGATCCTGCCCTTCGTGCCCTCCCTGCTTGTGGACCTCTGGGAGGTGTCTGGTTGGGATGCTGGTCTAGATGGACGGTGAGCCCCATTCCTCGGGGCTGTCACTGTGGGCTCTCTGCCCCATTGATTCCCGCGGGTTTCTGGCAATTTGGCAATCCGCAGAGCCTGCCCTGGTGGTGGTGTGTGGATTGGGGTCTCGGCTTTGCTAGTTTTTGTTCCACAATATTGTTTGTTTCACGAGGTGAGGAAAGCTGAGCTGGAGAGAAGTGGAATTGCATAATAATTCTCCCCCCTCCCTTTTGCTTCCAGGAGTAGTAGAAGCATGCCTTCTGCACTTGCTCAAACGGCGGGCGGCTGGCTTTCTGCGAACGGACAAGATTGCTGCCCTCTTCACCAAGGTGGGCAAGACGTATGATGTGGCGGGTGAGATATGCAAGACAGTGCAGGACCTCCTGCAACAAGTCGATGGCAGGTGAGACACCCCCCACTCGGGTTTTTTATGTCTTGAGCCTCCGTGGGAGAACCTTGGCTTTCCCAAAAGAAGGGGCCCTGGGATCAGACCTTTGGCTTTTTGGATTAAAAATGGCAGGGTGGGCATAGACTTCTGGGTCTTCCAGCGGGCCAGAATAGATCGCAGGAACAGATCTTGAACACGTAGATATGACAGTAATGTGCCTGTTGGACTGGTAGTCTCCAGGGCTGAATTCTGAACCGTGTAGGATGGGTAGCAGATGTGGGGATACGACCTTCTTCTGCCTGAGAACCTGGAAAGCTGCTGCCAGTCAGAGTGGACAATCCTGACCTTGAGAGGCCAGTGCTTTGACTTCGTATAATGCAGCTTTAGAGCTCTTTAATTTTATTCCAGAGTATTTATAGCCCACTTTTTTGGCCCTCACAGACCTCTAGAGCCGCTGACCAGTCTTTCAGAAAGTCAAGAGAGACCACAACTCTGAGTTTAGGGGAGTCCCTCAGAACATTCCCTCAGAGGCCCAACCCAGGACGGAGGGGAAATCCAGCTGGTGCGTCCCCCCACCCCACCCCACCCCACCCGGGTGTGTGTTTATTAAGTATGGTGTCCTGACCTGCTGATACCTCTGATCCAGTGGTAAGGGGAAGGTCCTCTGCACATTTATTTATTTTATTTATTTATACTTTAAATTTATAATTTGCCCAATCCCTGAGTACAATTGGGCGATGTGCAACAGAACTTAAAAACATCAACATAACGTTGTTAAATTCAGTAATTCAGTTGTTCCTATATTATTAAATAATCTCCAGATGGCGTCAGTGATTTAGTCTTGGACCCGCCCCGGACTGTGTTACCATCTCGCAGGCAGGGCGAGAAGAAGGCCAAACCGAAAAGGTGGTGGAGGAGAAGAGGAGGAGGGGGTGCCGGGGCCACGATGGGACCCGCCGCTGTCCTCAGCCCAAAGCCTGGTGGGGACGTCTCTGCCTCGGCAGGCCCCGCGGAGCAGCACGAGGTCCCGTGGGCCCTGGTGGGAGTTGGCCCTAGAGGGTCCCACCAGGTCGGAGCCTTTGGGGCTCTGGTCGAGGGCAGCCGGATGTCTTTGGGGCCAGGGAACACCAGCCGACGGCCCTCGGTGACCACTGCACAGGCGCAACAAGAAAAGGGCTCATTGCCGTGTTTGGCGTGGGTGGAAAAACGCCAGCCAGGCAGTATCGGTGACCTGGGCCTCCGCAGTTAAGGAGGCATCCAGGATCACGCCCAGACTCTCGACGGATGGCGCCAGTGTCAGGGGTGCCCCGTCAAGAGTGGGAAGTCTGTGCCCCAACCCTGAGCCCCCCCACCACCACAGAACCTCCGTCTGTCTTGGATTCCGTCTCAACCGACTCTCTTTTAACCATCCCACGATGTCAGAGGTCCCCAGTGCAGCCCAGGCGAAGGGCCTTTGGGTGGAAGGGCTGCAGCACAACAAAATGACAAAATCCTAGTGTCTGGCTGCCCACACACCAGCCCTTTTAAACTATCCCAACAGCTTAGAAGCAAAAAAGGCAAGCTCCCAGCTTTTCTAGGATTTAACCAGAAAGTCAACCCTGCAGGGTAGACCTGCAGAAGGAGTTCCCAAACAAAAGGCAAGTTACGGGGTAGGTGGTCACTGGATCTAAAACACTGGAATTAGACTGAGGTCAGTGGAAGGCAAAAACCACAAGCAAGTTCTTGACCCGGAAGGAATGTGTCTCCAGGTCCTCTCCCCAATCCTCGGGAAGCTGCAAGAGAGTTTTTCTTTCTTATTTTCCTCTTCACAGGTCAAGAAAAGGGGCGAATGTAGGCAGACAGTTCAGCTCTCAGATGCCCTCCTCGCTTTCATCTCTGTTCAGGTCATTAGCTTATAGCCAGCAAATGGGGTGCATCGGGGGTTTTCTTTGCTCACTGCACAGACTGGCAGGTTCTAGGCAGGTTTCTAATGGGTTTACCTCCATTTTTAGCTGGTTTGTCTGTTTGAATGGGTGTGGGAGGAGCAAGGGGAGATACACACCTGCAAAGATGGGCCATAGCTCATTGGTAAAGTATCTGCTTGGCATGCAGAAGGTCCCAGGTTCAATCCCTGGTGTCTCCAGTCAAAAGGACCAGGTAATGGGTGATGCCAAAGACCTCTGCCAGAGACCCTGGAGAGCCACACTGACAGTGTGATCAGATGATACGGACCACAATGGGTCAGTGGTCTGGTTCAGTATAAGGCAGCTTTGTGTGTATTTGTGGGGCTGGGGAAACTGCAGGGGAGAGCAAGCCATGAGGCAAGGCTGAAGAGTCTGGGACCCTCCCGCCTAGAAGACAGAGCATGGCCGGGGGGGCGGGGGGGGCGGCGGACTCTGATAAGTGATCACTGAACTTATGCATTTGCTGGAGAAAGTGGGTAGAGAGACCTTGTTCATCATCATCTTCCAAAATACCAGAACTAGAGGTCACCCAGTGGAGTTGATTGGCAGTAGATTCAGCGTGGATGAAAGGAACGACTTCTTTGTTCACTGAGTAATTCAACTGTGGGATCCCCTGCCAGGAGAGAGTGTGACAGCCACGAACAACAAACACACCGGTGCCTCGAGAAAGGGCCGAGCTAGATGCATGGACGAGAGGCCCCTCGGGGGCTGCCAGCCCTGGTGGCAAAGGGGGACCTCCATACTCAGGGGCAGCAGAGACCTGCAGGCCAGCGCTCGGAGGCAGCGCCGGGGAAGGCCGGGGCTTCTGTGCCCGGTTTGTTGGCCCTCTAGGGAGCAGGTGGTGGGCCGCCGTGTCTGGTCCAACTGGGGCTGCAACTGGCGCCTGGGCAGAGGGGGAAAGGTGGTTTGAGGGTTTTTACATTTCATGAAATGGTTTTGTATTGTTGTGACTTTGTTGTGACTTGCTGTGGGTCTTGGGATGCCCTGGAGGAGGAAGGCAGGTATATGAATAACAAATATTGTGCAGAAAGGGACCGTCTTGAAGGTATCGGGACCAGGAACTCCTGATGATGGAGCTAAGCAAACTCTGTAGCTTCCTTGAAGTCCTGCCCAGTTCGCCCTGCCGCTTGATCAGACCTGACTTTTAGCCTGGGTGCCACCACCCCTTTTGCCCTCACAGGCCATGAGAGAGACACCTCAGCTGTTTTTGGTTGTGCCGCAAGGGCCGTGGCTCCCTCCCTCCCTCCCTCCCTTTTTCATCTCGAGGGTGGCACGCAGAGTTCACCCCTCCTCCATTTTGTCCCCACAATAACCCTGTGAGGTAGGCTAGAGAAGGTGGCCGGGCCCCGGGTCCTCCAGGGAGCTTCGTGGCCGAGCAAGGGTTTGCAGCGGGATCTCCCTGGGCTTGGGCCACGGCTGGCTGAGGGGAGGAGCCCGAGGCGGGGGCGAGGAGGTCAGTCCCCGGCATCTCCGGTGAAAAGATCTCAAGTAGCCAGTCTTTAGAAAGGCCTTTCTCTGCCGAGTGAGCCCCTGGAATGCTGCTGCACGTCAGAAGAGGCGGCATCAGGGTGGAACCAGGAGCTCCTTTCCTTGGGCGGAAGAACTTCTGCCTGCAGAGCCTGACTTGTGGGGCTACCCCGTCCTGCAGCGGCCCCCCTCCTACATTCTGTACCTGGGGAGGAGGGGACATCCAGGAGCAGGATTTCAGGGGAGGAGGAGGAGGAGGAGGAGGAGATTGGATTTATACCCCACGGCCCTTCACTCGCAGTCTCAGAGCGACTTTTCCCTTCCCCTCCTCCCCACCACAGACACTGCAGGAATGCTGCAGGAAGGGGATGTGCAAAAGCCACCCTCCAAGGGCAGAAGTCCTTTCCCAGGGGAAGTGTGCTGTTGGATCCACCCCATTGGCTCAGACCGACCAGTAGTTGATACCAGGCAGCATCAGAGGTTTGTCATTTGCTCTTATGGTGCAGCCAGGGAGCTCTCGTTTATTCATTTATTTCTAACCCATCTCTGTCCCCAGTGGGGACCCAACGTGGCTTCCATACTTCTCCTTTCCTCCGTTTTATCCTCACAACAACCACCCTGTGAGGTAGGTTAGCCGAGCGTGTGTGACTGGCCCAAAGTCACCCAGTGAGCTTCCATGGCAGAGTGAGAGTTCAGACCAGGTACCCCAGTCCGACCCTGGAACCCCTGCATCACAGTGGGAACACCTGCCTGCTTAGACTTCTGACTTGAAACGATTCACAGGTAGGTGAGGGGGATGGACCACAGTTATGCACATGGGTTTCCCTCGAGCGGGGATCCCTGACCTGTTTGAGCCTGTGGGCACCTGTGGAATTCTGACACAGCCACAAAGTGGCCACCGTGGGAGGCAGAGCCCCCCACACACACACACACAGAGGGGAAGCCCAAGTGTGGGGGGCAAGAGAAGCAACTTTTAAAAATAAACAGGGAAAGTGGAATGAGAGAGAATAAAGCCGATACTGTAATGGCTGCTGTTGCTGAAGCCGTACAACCAATCAGATCTCCAGTGGCCAATCAAAAGCCCTTCTGGGCAGGAGCCCACCTGGCCCCACCCACTTGGGGGACCCTGCCCAGAGGGCCAGGCAGCACGGGCACCCACCAATGTTCCCTCTAAGCTGTGGAGTCTTGTGAGCAAAAAATCTACTCTGTAAGCTACTGGCTTTATAGTTGTGAGCGAGCAATTTGGCTCCTGCATCAATTAGTTTGCTCTGGAGCCATCCTTCCTCAGCTAAGACAAAAATCTGTGAGCCAGAGGCTAAAAAACTGTGAGCTAGCTCACACTAACTCATCTTAGAGGGAACACTGGCACCCACCGCTCACACCATGTTGCAGGTCTGGAAAAGAGTGCTGGGCAGGAGGCTGAGACCCCCTTCTTTATGTGTGCCAAAGTTGTGATCTGAATGAGGCATCCCACACTCTGGGATCGAGAAGTCTGGGGTCCCTGGACCCATCCATGTGCTCAGTAATGTGTGATTCCTTAGCCTTGAGCCACTAGCATTTCCACGGAACTGCTGCTCCCTTGATATGTTGTCAGGAGGGTTGCCT